CACCTCTACTTCTTCTACTCGACATGGAGAACTCGGACGCTAATTCGACGCTCCCAAACACCCGCATCGGTACTCCACTCCCAAAAGTGGATACCCTCGATACTACCGTTAGTGCTGACGCTTTTACCCGCGTAAACACCTCCGAACGTAAATCTCTCCAGGATACCAAGGTAGCGGGTGAAAAGGCCACCATCACTACACAAGAGGCCCAGGACCCGTCCTATCTCTTGACCGGTCGAAAACTGGCGCTAGCCCACATTGGCTTTTTGCTGTGAGTCGAAAATTAATAGATAAAAAACTCGATACTAACTAGACTCTAGTGCCATTTTCTGTGTGGCTCTTGATCAGACGATCGTAGCGACTGCGCTGCCCAAACTCGCCAGTCAATTCAACGCGCTCGACCAACTCACCTGGGTCGTCTCCGCCTACTTTTTAACCCAAGCCGGGTTGATGCTCACATTCGGTCAAATCCTCACCATCGCCCCCTCGAAATGGGTCTATCTCGTCTGCATCGTCCTCTTTGAAATCGGATCTCTCATTTGCGGCGTCGCACCCTCGATGAACGTGCTCATTTTCGGTCGCGCGTTCCAAGGCGTCGGTGCTTCTGGAATATTCATCTCCATCCTCACCATCCTCGCCCAAATCACCAAACTCGAACAACGCCCTCTCCTCTTTGGCTCATTCGGTGGTGTATTCGCCTTGGCATCCGTCGTCGGTCCTCTCCTCGGAGGCGCCTTCACAGACAAGGCCACCTGGCGTTGGTGCTTTTACATCAACCTTCCATTCGGTGCCATTTCCGTCGCCGCCGTCATCTTTTTCGTCCCCGCCAACTCGCCCCCCGAATCCAAATTGTACGAAAACATGTCGACCCTCCAAAAGTGGCTCGCCATGGACTGGATCGGGGCCGTCATCTCGGTCGGTATGATCACCTGCTTGCTCTTGCCCCTCCAATGGGGTGGCGTCACCCGTCCTTGGAACGATAAAGTCGTCATTGCGCTCTTTTGCGTGTTTGGCGTGTTGCTCATCATTTTCGTCGCTTGGGAATTTTTCAAGGGTGACCGTGCCATGCTCCCCCTCTTCTTGTTCAAACGACGCACTCAAGTCGGAGCTGGGGCTGCCATGTTCCTCATGATGATCTCCTTCCTCGCGGCTACCTACTACCTCCCCTTTTTCTACCAAGCCAAAGGCCGTACCGCCTCCCAATCCGGAATCGACATTATCCCCTTCATGTTGTCCGCCGTCATCGCCTCCTTCTCCTCTGGCGCATTCGTCAACTTTACCGGCCACTATTGGGGCATGCTCATCGTCGGTCCTATCGTCGGTGCCGTCGGTGCCGGTCTGCTCTTCACCATTGACGAGTATACCAGTTCGGCACGGTTGATCGGGTACCAAATCATTTTCGGTGCCGGTCTTGGTGTCGCGTTCCAACTCCCTGTTATGGCTATCCAAGCGGAATACGCGGACGAACCCGCACTCATCCCACAAGCTTCGTCCCTCCTCACGTTCCTCCAGTTGCTCGGTGGTGTGGTGGGTATCGCCATCGCCGGAACGGTATTCAACAACCAACTCGTCAAGACGCTCCACCAATACGCGTCCGACTTGCCACCCGAGTTGATCAACGCCGTCAAACAATCGGTCACCGTCATCTTTTCCCTTGACAAGGCGATGCAAGGACCCGTGGTGCACTCGTACGTCAAGGCGCTGGACTACACGTTTATTTTGACCGTGCCCGCGAGTGCGTTGGCTACGGTTGCAGCCTTGTTTATCAAGAATTGGAATTTGAAGCAGAGAGGTGGAGGTATGGGAGCCGGAGCGGTCTAACCCTCTCTCCCCATATCTTTTTACTTTTTTTGTTGCATTTCTAATCTTATTAGCATTTGGCATGTTCAGCATACAATCGTATTTTATCTCCTACTGCTTTCTAACGCGCGAAACGCGCGACGAGGTTGTAACTCTTATTCTCCAAAACCTAGACGAAATGACTCGTATATACTATAAAGACTATGACTTAATGATAATAGAAATGATCTTATCTGCATTTATCGAGTGATTTGAGTACTTTTTTGAACATTAAGAGCTTTACGAGTTTGACTACAGTCGAGGAATGGAGCGGAGCGGAGCTTGAGCGGAGTTTAAAAGACTTGTCTAAATTTTGAGGCCGGTCAAAAGCGAGAACCGAGGGTCACCACGTCTATTGGAGAAAATTAAGAAAATT